AAAAAAAAAAAATCTACTGCCCGGAAACAATCTTTAAACTTAAAACCCTGTCCCAAGAAGCCACATTAAACTAACCAATCAAAAACCCACTGACTCACAGCAGCCCACATAGGGTTTCGAAGGCCATAAATCCTTAAGGAGGAAGACTGCCGTCTTTCTCTCGCGGAACACTGGTGGGTTTAAACTCCCGACCTCTTGGTTAGCAGCCCGATGCCTTAACCACCACACCACCGGAGCTGACACAGATGAGCTGAATCGATAAAGACTGTTGGCCTTGAGTGTTGAGCTTTCTCTTATAGAGAATGATCTGTATGAGTTCATGCTGACAACAGTTCATTTAAAGCACGGATGAGAATTTTTAGGGGCAGAGTCCAAATTAATGGTGATGAGACCATTTTGGTACAGAGTGAGAATGGTGACAAAGGTGACGTGTAACCAGTGTCACTGAACTACACATGTACAAGTTAGGAATGGTTGTCTGTTTGGTTGTGTATATTGCCACCAAAAATAAACTCAAAAAAACAGCAACAGTGTGTGTTCCCCCTTCCAAAAAAAAGCCAGCTGTGTGCAAAGATGCCTCCTGAAAGAAGCCACATGGGGGCTTGTGTCTGCAGTTCTCAAACAAGGACATGTATGCACCTTACTGGAAGGCAAACACTACCCCTGCACAGGGGTGGACAAAGCAGGGCATCTGTTCATTCCTAGGAATGAAACCCACTTTAAAATCCATGCTCACTGGCCTTTGGGTTTTTGTGAAGAAATAGGGGTGCAGTCTCCTGGGGAGGAGCGAGCCATGAGGGGCTGTGCAGCCGGCCCTCGGCCCTGCCCCGACAGTGCTGTTTCCACTGTGGGCCCTGCTGCCGGGGGTGCATGGGTTTTGTGCGTGTGCCAACCCCTACATCCACTGGGGAGTCCTGGAGCTTCTAATAACCAGCTACCCGTGCAAAAGCTCAGGGAAGGGCAGGTGACCCCAGGTGCTAGTGGGACTGGATGTGTGGGGACAAAGGGGCAACAAAGCCCTCTGGCCAATCTCCGTGTGCCCGTGTCTTAAGATTTTGACCTCATCGCACTTTTTAAAAGAAACAAACTACAGAGCTGCACACAGACAGGAGGCAGCCCCAGTTCTGGCGGACGTCGCAGCAGTGGTGGTTCAGGGGGAGAACTCATGCCCTTCCTGCAGGAGACC